CGGGAATTGGGTAGATGGAATTATTTTTAAGTATAGACCAGAGGACATGTTTTTATTATTGTTATTATTATTATAAATATTATTGTTAATGAGTGTATTATAGGGATTATATCGAGTTTTTGCAACGTGTCTCACCGAAAACGGCTGATCAGTACGAGCATTTATTTGCGCAGTTCAACATTGGAGAGGACTGTCCAGTGTTCGATGGCATTTACGATTATTGTGCCATCTCGACGGGTGCATCGCTTAGTGGTGAGTTGTTGTATACGATATTGTTGTTGTTTATTTTACGTAATATTACCGAAAATAATTGAGTAGGGCGTATAAAAAAATCTGCAAAAAATATTGACCTTAGGCGGAATCGAACCCTCGAGGTCTGGTGGCAGGATCAGGTTTGGTGTTGTTTTGCACTGCGCTAAGTGGTTAGTGTAGTGGTTAGCACTCTACGCTAGGGCACTTGAGGGCGGGGGTTCGATTCCGGGCAGGGGTGGTTCGATTTTTTGTGATTTTTGCGGGTGTCGTTGTTAGTTAGTTATTATTATTGTTTTATTATGATTATTATTTATTATTATTGTTGATTGTTTGTTATTATTATTTATTATTATATATAATTATTATTATTGTTGTTGTAGGAGTGGCACGATTAAATCATGGGCTGAGTGATATAGCGATAAATTGGAGTGGTGGGTTGCACCATGCGAAGAAACGAGAGGCATCGGGGTTTTGTTATGTGAATGATATTGTGATCGGTATTTTGGAGTTATTGAAGTACCATCCGAGGGTGTTGTATGTGGATATCGATATACATCACGGGGACGGCGTACAGGTGGCTTAATTAATTAATTAATTAATTATTGTTATGTATTGTTATTCATTGTTAATGTTATATATTGTTTATTATTATTGTTGTAATATATTTTTATTTTTGTGATATAGAATGGTTCCAGGAAGCTTTCTACTTGACAGATCGTGTGCTGACAGTGTCATTTCACAAATATGGTAACTACTTCTTCCCGGGGACTGGGGATATGTACGAGATTGGGCA